GTAGTCCAATTTTAATTAAATAATGAAACACTTTGCTTACAGCATTTCTTCACGATATTGTCAATGTTTCCGGCCAATGGTTGCTTCATCTAAGTGAACTTATGAATTTATCTTGCACTATATATAAAACAGGTCCATGTAAAAAGTTGAGACGAAATTTCGAGCTTTGTGAAACCGGTTTGACAGGAATGAGAGTCCTCAGAATGTCCCATATGATTAGCACAGGTAAGGGTTAGTCGCAGTATTGGGGTTAGTGTATGGGACGAATGTCACCTCTACAAAGTAACTGGGAACGAACTACGGTTCCTAGCGGACTACCATTCCTGTCACACCAGGTGCTAGGTCACGAACCCATTACCTTTATGTCCGGAGGCTGTAACTGGTGGAACAGAGGTGCCTGAACGGCAGAAAGTTTTTGGAAGACTGCGGAGACATCTTTCGATCCGTCGCTGACAAAGTCCCTGACAGACAGAAGTTTAGTAGAAACGGTTGCTCGTTTGGTTTTGTCACTCCAGTGTTTTCTCGTCAACTGTAGTGAGCACTCTTCCGCAACCACTTCGTTACCTGAACAGATAAATTGTGCGTTAACATAACACCATCAACGAGAAGTTTTTGCGATAAGCATATTTGATTTTTTTTGTGAGACGACGCAGTACATTGTATGCCTAGCACGATCAGTCTGCACATGGCTATTTAATAGTTCCCATTATGATCACTCGTATGTCAGGATAAAGAAAGTATATGTTCTTATTTTTAATTAATATACATTTATTTATTTTATTTTAAACTGAGACTCACAAGTCCAAAATTGAAATCCCTTCGTCCAAGAGCGTTAGACTTTAACGTACAGCTTTGTTAGCTCTGACACGAGGTTAAATGACGTAATTTTGGGTTTTAGTTATGCGGTGAATACGGTAAATAATTTTCTTAATGTATGGGACAATTTATTTAAATTGGTTGTACGGGAATGACTTTTCATACCAAAGTTCGAAGGATCCTTTGTCCCGTCAAACAAGACCTCTTTCAAATAAGATTTCTTTCAAATAAGTAGCATTTCTTATTTCATCCTGATTTTTCCAGTTTAACATAAACAGCGCCGTCCCTTAGCAAAATATCAGGACTGCTGCAAATTGGCAAATGATTTGCTGCAATATTACCTTCTCCTAAATCCAGGTTAAAATCAACCACACACTTGGAAGGGTCCGCATTGGGGATCTTGCATAGCACAGGTATTGTTGAGATGACTTTCACCGTGACCGCCTTTCTCTTCTCTTCCACTCGTACCACAGGCGGGTCGAACTGAAGCAAAAGGTTCTGGTTAGCAATCTCTTTTGAAAATCTCCACGATGAACTGAAGGCAGTCTTCAAGTTAAGATGCAAACCCAGTTTGCATCTTAACTTGAAGGCTGAGGGACCCCTGCTCACAAATTATCATGCGTGGATTGAGTTCCATCGCCAAGTTAATTTGCTCAGAATCTAAGCTGCTTAGAGTGCCATTAAAAAAACTTAAAGGTCTTGTTTGTTATAGTTTAAAACTTAAACTCTTAGATCGAAATGGGGTTGTCCACATTTCTTTTCCCACTTTACAAGGAAATCTTGTAGAAACGTCAAACCCCTTACAGACATACGTCGCAGAATAGAGTTTATCCGATTCGAGGCAGCACTCTGCGAATGGCTATGTTCAACATTTGCTATTCATCAAAATCCTGTAATTAAGTGTAAAGTCCGTACCATAGAGACTGTAGTCGTAGTTTGCCATATGTTAGAAGAAAGTTTAAATATTGCCTTGTAGACCTTATTGGCTGAGCCACAGTGGAATTTATTAACACAGTTTTTTAAAATGGAACATCTCACCTGTATACCTGCAAAATATGAGTTGCTTTCCCAAAGTTTGCCGACATGGGGATTGCTCCTTAGTGGATAGAAGAATGGCCGAACAATGCAGCTCACCTACCCATGGAAAACAGAGGCCACGTATACTTTGAAACAGACAGGGGGATAAAATCAATAAGGATCGAGGTACCGGTATGTTGAGTATCGTAAGTTGATAGTTCTGGTACTTTTCCTTTTTTACATACTGCAGAGAATGGAAATAACATTTAGACCGAGTAATTACATAGTTTAGCTTTCTTCGTCATAGGGTGCATTCATATTCACACATCGTGCTCAGGGGGCGGATCCAGGATCATTTGAAGAGAGAGTACGTTTTTTAGGAATGATAACCCTCGGAGTTTTGAATAAACAAAATCAAAACTACTTGCTGATAATTCCACCAAAAAGATAGCATTTTTTGATGAAAGGGCAGTATAAACTACAACTTTGGATAATAATCATACACATACTGAAGTAAACGTTCAGCACTTTTCTTTGAGGGGGGGGGGGTTACCCTGTATTATACGATGTGTAAATTTTGATGCGGTCACAAATGTGCCCATGAAATTTAACACGGATGATGAATTAACTTATCCCCTTAAAGCAGGATGATGTTTTATCTGTTTTGAAAAAGACTACCTGTGCATCTGAATTTAAAGGGATAACTCTTCGTATGAGATCTATATTTCATAATGAAATATTGTGAATAACTCATAGAAATATAATATATTCTGTTTTACCACAAAAACAGCATTTATAGCTACATGTATTATTCTGATATCTGAGCTTGTCTTTAGACCACGTGACCTCCATTGATGGATATACTCTTAAGAGATTTTAACAAAAAACCAAACTTCTTACTTCTTAGGAACAAAAAAACTAACTTTGAATGTAAAAATGGTTTCATTATAACCATTGGTAAGTATGGGAAAACTATTGTTTACTCCAGGAAACGAAGAGTTATTATCCCTTTAACAGATTTTAGGGCACCTTTACTTCAGACAACCAATGTGGTCATATTTATAAAGGAAAAAAAACGGAAGAAAATAACAAAAAAAAAAAATACTTACATTTTTATTCATGTGGTGGGCAGCTGGGAGCATGTGGATGTCCTTCATATAGTGGACACGGGAGGTTCCATGCACGTAATAGATTTTAGACATCGGGCCCACCGGGGACGGCTTGCCGTCAAACAACCTAAATACAAGAGAAACCACTTGTCAGCCGTTGTTGTAGCATTTAGTACAAGAGCACCATTGCGCAAGATTGTGTTTCTGTAACCGGTAGTTGTATTTAAAGGCACAATGTGTACTGTGAGCGTTTGCAAATGCACAATGGACATTTCTGGAGGGCCCGGAAGATTTTTGGTAATTAAGATGGCGAACGGTGCCATATGGGGGGGGGGGGGGGGGGGGGTAAACCCCCC